AAACAGTGTAGCAAGCCAGCAACTTCACCAGCTGACCAAACCGCAGTTGTCAGCCATAAAAAGTGCCCCTCTTTTATTGTCTCCTCAGAGAAGGTGAATGTGAGTGTAGGGATGACATGGAAACAAAGGTTATCTGGAGCCAGAAAACATATTGCCACTGACTCAATCCCAACTCATAGTAACCTGACACACAGCAGAACTTCCCCACAGGGTTTCCAAGGCTATAAATCTTCACGGAAGCAGAATGCCTCATCTTTCTCCCACGGAGCAGTGGAGGGGTTTGAACCTTCAACCTTTAGGTTAGCAACCCAATGCTTTATAGCACCATCAGAGTTGAGCAAAAGATGGTGGGGTGTCATCAGAGACAGGCTGGTTCAATAGGTTAATGATGGCCCTGCCCCATACAACCACGTGGTAGCATGCCTGGTGTAGGTCGGGAGGAAATGTGCATGGCAAAAGTTGGAAATACCCTGCTTGTTTAGAAAGAGATCCTAGTTTTAAATCACTCCTGCCAAGTGGCCATGATGGCTGCTCTCTCATATGGTTCCCAAGAACCAGGTTAAGGGCATTGAAGCAAACTCTTTTTAGAAAAAGTTTCTCCAGTGACTTCAAACAACATGAAAACAAGATTAGATAAACCAGAAAACCAGGGTAATAGTTTAGGATCTTCAGAGTATGTATAAAATCCAATCTCAAGTTGGATACGACTCATAGTGACCCCCTCCCCCCCCAAACACCCTTGGGTTTCCGAGGCAGTATCTCTGCCCAGTCTTCCTTCCGAGGAGTGGCTAGTGGGTTTGAACTGCCAGCCTTCTGGTTCGCAGTCAAATGCCTTAGGCACTACGCCACCAGAACTCCTAGTTATATCCCTTGTCTCAACCCACATGAAATCCTAAAACTATCAAGAAAAACTTTTTACCATAAATTTACATTTTGTTTTCAATGAAAATACTCTTACGTTCGTAATTCCATACCACTTTTTTCTTTTTTATTTAAAATATTATAACCAATTGACATACTAGGTAACAATGCTTACATTCCAGTGGTGCATGTTTAATGACTAGGGCATGAATGATTAAAAACCACAATAATTATCTCAGCATTCCCTACAATGTGCCCCATTTCATTTTGTCTAGAGAGGAGAGGAGAGGGAGTGGAACACAGGAAAGGGAGAGGAATGAAGAAGGAATGGCATTGTGTAGGTCAAAAACAAATGTCATTTATCATACTTTTAGGTTTTTAGGTTTTAAAACCTGTCAAACAGGATAAACTGTCATGAGAAAATAGATGTCACAGTCCAGGTATACAGCTAGTTTAGTTTAACTTCACCATCTGGGTAAAAGATTAAGAGCTTCTCAAAAATATACCAAATATCGGGCCTATAAAAGTAATTTATTTCTTTGTAAAATTCACTAAGATTTATTCCTTCTGTAAAATGTAAAGAATGGACTGATATCACGAGCAGGTTTCTTTCTACTTACAAAAACAGACAGTAATTATTTCAACGAGTGTATCTAACACAATTTTCCAAGATATACAACGAAAGATTTTACATGTGAGTGTCTCTTACTGATGCAAGGTATCTATTTTACATACTCACTGGTATTATGTCAACGCTGGCTATGAAGTATTTAACACACATTTATAATTCACATTCAGTAAAGATCTAACAGTAAGGGCAACAGCTTACTTGGGAAAGCATAGAAAATTAGTGTGAGGTAGTTCAATAAAAACCTAGTTTTATTTGTTAAGTCATTGTGAGAATAGAACATTGTGCAAAACTAATCCACAGATAGTATTTTTCAACTGTTTCAGTAACAAAGAGAATCTATACCAGAAATGGTCAAGAAAGTTATTACTCTTACTAGACTCTCCTTAAGAGCACTTCACTAAGAGTAGTTAGTTTGAAATTAGGACTTTTGTTTTCCTTATGAGTTTTCTAATTGTACCCCAAACTATACATTTCTGCTTCAATGCCCTTTACCTCTTCAGATTTCTTGCTATTAAGGAAAACTCCGTTTCCTCTGATTAGGAAAAAACCTAAGAGAGATCAGTAGAAACACAATGTACACTAAAACGGAAAAGGAGATGGAGAGAATACTTAAGAGGGTTGCTTGTGACAGAATGGCGATACTGGACTTCCTATCGGTAAAAGTGAAGTTTCTTAGGGGTCATGGGGACTTCATGCATCCACTCTATTGCTACTGTGTGACTAAGGAACAACACACACAAACTACAACAGCATTTCTGAAAAGATACAAGGCTTTTACCTCAGAATGTTGTGCAGGCCTGCGCCTAGGCAACATTGAGTGGTTAAGTCTTCATATACGTAGCAGATACTGGCCAATAATGTAAACCAAGTCTTATCTGTAACCCAGGAAACAGCTTTACTTGCCTGCTGCCGATTTCCCTCAGACAATGATGTCCTCCTCTTCTCCATCTTTTTAGACAACACAGCAGGATCAGAATGGAACAGTAAAATGAAAAAGCTTACAAAACAGTTTGCTATTTTATACACAATTAAGCTTCTCTGTACCCATCAGAGAAGATGTGTGGTTGCCTTCTCATGGAAGGGCTGGCATTTCTCTTAGGAATCTGAGGTAAATGCACTGTGCCTTTACCAACTGGGAAGAACAAGTACCAGAAGGAATCAGCAGCCACAATAAGCGAGAATTGTTTAGCAAACAGTACGGAAAGAGTTGAGATGCTCTGTGTATGCATATTGTAATTAAAAGCTCTCAACCACATGGTCATTTTACAAGGGGTCAGTGTACATTAGAGGGCAAGAGAAATAGTAACCAGTAAGACATATGTAGAAAGAATTAAACTGCCCCTTCCTTAATCTATGAAGTTGAATAATAAATTTTGGTCAACATAATTTTCTGACAGTAAGATGATAATTATATTAAGTCTATAAAGATGAAAACCCAAAATTATAAGGTAAGCAAACTGGTGGCTTTACATAAGTTACTGCTTGAAAGAAACCTTATCTGTAATTACTATTTTTAAAAAAACAATGTTTAGAAGGTTTTAAAGACTCTAAAAGCTTCTAAAATATATACACATACACACACATATATATTCAGCTTAATCGATTTAAGAGGGAAAGTTATATATAGACACTGTATTTCAAAAACCTAGGGCACACAACATTTAACAAAAGACTGTTTTCTGGATACAATTTGATAAATTTTTAGTCTACATTAAGAAATAAGAGTTCATTTTCTCTGAATTTGACCGAAACATACTGGTTGGCAAGTGGCAGCTGGCATTTACAATAAATGATACACGAATACCTGGTTTTCCTTGGTTAACTCCAATCTCTATCAATAGAGATGGCTTATAAACAATCAAATGTACGATATAGAATCTTCTGAAAGCATGTTAGCTGTTAAAGTGCAATAGTGAAATTATCTATCCTAGAGAAAATAAAGCTAATAAACTGTCAAGCTAATGTAAACTAAGAACACATTCATGCTCAAATTTTTGCTAAAATCATAAATCCAAGCCTGTTTCTCAATTCAAGGTGTTGGAATCTCAAAACTCTAATTGGCCTAAAAAATTAATGCACCATGTTATATGAGTAGGAAAAGGGTAGATAAAAAAGACTGACAATGTCAACAGAAGCTAGAAATCATGGCTTTAAACCATCAAAAACAAATTTGCTATTTCAAAATACATAAAAAGGCTAATGTATTTCAATATTAAATATTGCACATTAACATTTGCAGTCAATATGTGAATCCATGCCAAGCAAACCCTCAGACGTCACATGTTGAGATGTAACCTGCTCTCACTCCTATTGGTCATTCATTTCAAAGGGCTTTCTGCCCAGAACCTGGCCACTGACTTAAGTATGCATTTCTCAGTTCACTCTGTGAGATCTCTCCTGTTCCAAAGATAAAAGGTGCCTAGGGTCATTACAGACAACGTATTTCAGAGATAATGAGACTTCAATGACATTTTACTTAGGAACAATTCAGTTATAGAGAAATAATTCTGCAGATATAAAATGTAAACAGTTAACATACACTTATCAGGAGCAGCACCATTCTTCACTACTCAACATCCACATTGCGTGTTGTATTGAAAATCAGGTTATAAAAAAACGAAAGACTCAGACTAAATAACCACCATTTATGCCTGCTCTGCTCAATGTGAAAAAACAGTCCTTAGAAAAGTATATCCTATATATGGCTGTGTGCTACTATTATCAGATGAACGGTATATTGCTCACTTGATACATCACCTACAGAAATCTAAGTAGGCTTTGGAACCTCCCAATGGCCAGTAAAAATATGATTATGCTACAACTAGAATCAGATGGCCAAAAACACCATGAGAACTGGTGCTCAACTGACTGACACTCCAAGTAATAAGAAACCAGAAAGGTCCAAGGGCCCAAGACTGCAGGAAAGGGAAAGACCAGACTCTAGACCACTGCAGGGACCTAAAGCCTGAGTAGATTAACTCACTATGTACAAAAAGAGGCTCACAGCTAGGAGAAGTGAACCATCTGTTTATTTGCATTGAAATGTATTATTCATGAAATATCCTCTAGACTTTAGTTGACCATAAGCTTTGAGCATGCCACAAATTTGCAGAATACACCATATTCTTCTTCCTCTACTTTTGAGGGTGGGGTAGGGGGATAGAAGGGTAGTGGTAGATGCCCAGCATCTTCAAAGACATGCTCTGAGTTATTCTGCCATTTAAAGGATTGGATTTTGCCAAAAATTCATGTAGGAGAGTCTACCAATTTTTGTAAATAAGATTAGCAAGTAGCAAATATTGGAGGTTTCTTAACACGTTCATCATTTACAGTAGTTATTCCTGAATATAACTGGCTACAGGTTACTTTCCCTCACTCCTCTGGGGTTATTTCATTGATAAGCACATAACCCTGAAGGATAGTGTCATGAACAAAACATCTGAAATAAATTCTAATTAAAAAAAAAAAAAAACCTATAAAAATCTTAAATAATTCATGATATAGGCAAGTCACCACATAATAGTTGCTTTGATAAACAAAATCTTACAAATTCAGTAAAAAAAAAAAATCAGCAGCATAAGATAAAGCAAATATGCAAAAATTTAAACCATGATAAAATAATTAGGTTTACATTATACAGTTAATTACAGCAAAAAAAAGAAAAAAGAAATACAGTTTTGTTGGTGTTTTTAAACACAACTTGTTTTAAATTACAGCATTGGAAAGTAAAAAAAAAAAAACAAAACTGCTTTACTACAAAATAAATTCTACATTTTTGAAAATCCACTCAAAAGTAAGACCACTGAATTGTTTTCAAAGTAGTTCTACCAATGACTAAACGGCTCCCCCTATAAACCTCCCCCCCCAGGCCCAAGTAGTCATCTGCAACAGCCCAGAGGTCCAGATGATGCTTCTAGACTGCTGTCTGTATCAGAGGCCAAAGTTGGATCTGTTGACATTGAAGACACATCATTGACAGACGATGATGACGATGGGTGCTGAGAGCCATTGATCACTGCTGCACCTGTGCTATGAGAAATAAAACAGCAAATCAGTTGCAGACAGAGTTGCAGTCCGAGCTATTTGAACTATACTCACTATCTCCTGTGGTCAATAATTTTTCTCTTGAGTTTAGAAGGCTCACTAAAGATACTCACAAATGATATTCAACCCAAGACTAACTTACACATATTCTTCATTGCAAACTATGAGGTGAGAATCCTGAAAATGCATATTTAGAGTTCTGTTCTTTCCTAGCAAAGAAACAACTAACAACTAAATTGGTTTTTCAGTTCAAGGCAAGAATTTTAAGTCCAATTCACATTTAGAAAAGTTCCTACAGCAAGATCAATGAATGGGCTTCAACACTGTATGTGAACTCTTGAAAATATATGCAAAACTGTCTTTACATTTTGTTGGAGAAAGGATCTCAAAGGGCTATATGACTCAAAAAGATTAAAAAAAAAAAAAAAAAAACCTACTGCCCTATAGGAGTATGTATATCTTTTTCAAAATTTTCATTTATTTTATTGTTACTGTTGTTGAGAATACACAACAAAACACAGACAAACTGACCACTTTCACATATACAATTCAGTGATATTGATTACATTCTTTGAGTTGTGTGACAATTCTCACCCTCCTTTTTTTCAGTTGTTCCTTCCTCATTAACATAAACTCACTGCTCTCTAAGGTTCCTATCAAACCTTTAAAGTTGCTATTGTCATTTTGATCCCACATACGTAGTTCTTAAAAGAGCATAATGTTCAAGGCAGACATTTTTTACCAGTTAAGCTAAACTACTGTTTGGTTTCAAGACAATTTCAGGGTATCTTTTTGGTTTAAGGTTTAAAGATTATCTCAGGACCTTAGTTTCAGGGTTCATCTAGCCTCCATGGCTCTGAAAGTCTAGAGTCCATGGGATTTTGAAGTTCTGTTCTGCATTTCCTCCCTTTTGATCAGGGGTCTTCCACAGAATCTTTGATTAAATTGTTCAGTAATAGTAGCTGGGCACCATCCAGTTTTTCTGGTCTCATAGCAAAGGAGTCAGCTGTTCATGGAATTTTTTGATAACTTTTTACTGAAAAGGAAAGTCAAAACAAAACTTCTGGTATTAACTTCTGCTATATAAACACCATCCCTAGTATTTTTATAAGTGCATTATGTTAATTTTTAAAACATGCTGCTGTAAAAAAAAAATTAGGAAAGCACACTTATGAAATTATCTAATGGTGGGAAGGGAGCAGTAGACAAAAGTAGAATACACAGGTTTATCCGTGTTAAACTAAGAAAAAAAAAAAGGGTCATTCCAAATGTCAGCACATTACATAATGCAATTTATACAAATGTTCTCTGGAACATGTTTATAGAATTTTTTATTCTATAAATACTGATTTCCAAATTGTTCACTGAGAATTCCTGGGAAGGATGTCCAGGTGTCTAACATGCTGAAATCAACAGGCTGAAAACAACTAACTGTCCCAGAACTCAGCATTTCAGTGTTGGAGGTGACTAGCAATAAAACACTTCACTATAAAATGTCCTCTTAGAGTCTGTCTTCAAACTCAACAAAGAACTAGGCAGGGTAGTGGGAACAGGTAATCTTGAGGATGGTGGGAAGGTGAATGGGAGGTAGGAAGGGAGGGGACCACACGGAGTAGAGAAGATGATGGGAGCTGACAAGAGAAAGGATAAGCAGGCTGCATTATTTCAGGCCTGAAAGAAGAGTGGAAAAGGAGAAATGTGATACCTCCTAGACGTAAGAAACGCCTATGAAGTTCTCAACCAGAGTGAAATTCAGGTAGCATAATTTTTTGAGTTCAATGACTAAGAACATCAAATGCATTATGAAATACATGTTTTGACTAAACACCATAGTATGCCCACAACACTATAAATAACTTCTAAGACTTGTGTTAAAATACCCAAGCCATAAAAACACCTACTTTCTCATGTCTCTAGTTCAAAATTTATTTTATCCAAATTTATCCAAATTTTTTGATCTCATAAAAATTAACTTCTAAATGCATCATAATTAGTTTTTAATCTGAAAATCAAGTACCTAAGAAGAGAAAAATATTTGTTTCCTTTGAACTTTAAAGCAATAAGGTAAGTTTCTCAAGTATCTGAATAATAATACAATAGAAAATCATCTCACATAACTGAGTCATTTACTTCTTACTGGGTCTCTAGGAACTCAAAGGCATGTAAACTCATTTTAATATTAATGAAACCAAAATAAAGACAGGAAGGCAATCTACTGGGAAAAATAAGATAATTCATTTAAAAAAAAAAAAAAGTGGAAATGGTACTGTGATTACCTGATATTGTGATTTATCAAAGACTGTTTCTTCTATTTTTATATATAGTCAAGGACTACACATTTTATAACAGCTCTTCACTTCAAGCTATGAACTGAGAATCCAGAAAACATCCAGAAACTTGGAAGTCTTATACGTTCCATTGGCTGACTGTGGCGGTTATGTTTGTGTGTCAGCATGGCTGGTCCTGGTTGAGTGGCTGGGCAGCTGGTGGAAGTTATTCCCCATGAAGAGACTGGCAGTCAACTCCATGGTGGGATCTACCACAAGCAGCTGAGTAGCTGCTTTGGGTATGTGGTCTGCTTTCCATATACAAAGCAGCAGCTTTGGGAATGGTCTCCAGCTTATGGCATGCTTGGACCCTGCATGTAGCCATGTTGTTGTTCAGCAGCCTGCCATGCTCTGCCAACCTTGGGACTTACAATGGACTTGAGTTAATGGCCTGCTGTGTGGTTTGCTAACATTGGTATTGTGCCATTTTATTTGTCAACCTTGGGCTTGTTAGCCTCAGCAGCCAGTAGCTGCTTGAGTGAAGAGATGCCTCTAGCTTTAGAGCTGAAGCCCAAGGCCAAGGGGCCTTCACCCAGACCCTAGAGCCTGGCACTTTGAACTTGGACTTAAGCCTCCAAATTGTAAGAATAAACTCCTGTTTGTTAAGGCCATCCCATTTGTGGTATATTCCTGTAGAGCAGCACCAAGTAACCACAACACTGATTTATTTTTTCTATAGGTTCTGCCCTCATTTATTTTTATTTATTTTTTTATTTTAAGAGCTTGTTTTACATTCAACGTAATGCATACATTTAGTTTCATTCCCCATTTGCCATGTCCAACCCTAACCCAGTCTCCTCCCCTCCCTACCCTGTAACCCTCCTCCTGTGCCCCTCCTATTTATGCACTCCTGTTTGTCCTGCATTTCCTCAGTTTGAATGTTACTCCTCTGGTGTCCCATGGTCTATTGCTCTAAGGGATGTTGTATTACCATAGAGTATGTGGGTGCAGCATCCTGGGTTGACTGGTCTGTGGGTACATCTTGTTAACTATTGGGCTACCCTGGGGGTGAGTTTCATTCCATGCGCAGAATGTATTCCAGGGCCATAGTATTGGGAGTCTCATCAGATTTCATCCAACCAGTAATTCTGGTCATTATTGAGTTTTTGGATTTTGTTACACGTTTTCTCTCCCACTCTATCCAGGATCTCCAGATTTGATCCTTTCCTGAGTGGTTGCCATTGGTAGCTGGGCACCACCTAGTTCTTCTAGTCTTGAGGGCCATTGTGTCCTAGGCCTGATTGCTTCTAAATGCTCTTGTTTGTGTGTGTTCTTCTTCACTTTCGATGGTGGGAGACCATCTGTTGCATCTCAGATAGCTGCTTGAAAGCTTTTAAGACCCCAGTGGCTACTCACCAATGTAGGATGTGGAACAACACTTTTATGTATTTTGTTGTGCCAACTGAGTCTGGTGTCCCCCAGTACTATGGTGCTGAGGTAGCAGATCTATTGGATCTCTTTCCCATAATGTCTGGTTGTCTGTGAGGGATTACTCTGTGTCTGTCTTCTATTGTTTCTGTAAGGATTGCAGGTATTTTGTATCACTGGGCAACACTGATTTTTATAACTACAGGCAAATGCTGTCTAAGATTCAAATTCTTCATTTATAAATTAAAACAAATACAACCATTCTTTTATTATATTTACTTAAATATTTTGACATTTATGATATGCTAAAGTATACAACTCTCCTTAATAACAGATTTTCCAAATTCCACCCAAGCCTCCATTATGAAGAGTTAAGTTATTATCATATAAGAACCCTAGTGGTGCACTGGTTAAGCACTCAACTACCAAGTGAAAGATTGACAGTTCGAACCCACTCAGCAGCTCTGTAGGAGAAAGACCTGACAATCTACTCCGATAAAGATTATAATTTAGAAAACCCTATAGGGCAGATTTACTGTTACATGGGATGACTGTGATTCAGAATCTACTTGACGGCATTGAACAAAAGCAACTATTAAACAGCAATACAAAGCTGATTAGTTAGTTATACTATTAAAACATTTATAATACAGCTTTTTATTGTTATGACTAAATCACAAGAGCTCGGAAGGCAGGTTGGGCAATCTACTTCCATAGTGATACTGCCTTGGAAACCCAAGGAGGGGTTGCTATGAGTCGGGTCCAACTCGACGGCACATAACAACAACAACAACAAATCACAGGAGACAGCCATGTCCAAAATAGATAGTCCTTGTCTTAGTCCCTTAAGTTCCAAACCAAACCAGAATCAAACCTTCTGCCACCAAGTGGCTTCTGACACACAAGCGATAACAAAGAAGTATTTCACAAGGTTTCTAAGGCTGTAAATCTGTATAGAAGCAGACTGTCACATCTTTCTGCCACAGAGCAGCAAGTTCGTTAGAACTGGCAACTTTCTGGTTAGCAGCAGAATGCTTTAACAACTGTGTCATCAGGGCTCCTTTAAGTTTCTGAAACTATAAAAATTCAATGTATATTTCCAATAGAATCTATAGTATAATGTGGAAGTTGTCCTACTGATCAGTGACTTAAAAAACAAAAGTCTGAAGTATAACAAAAAATGCCGTAAGTAGCTACATAAATCAAACAATTTTATGTCTACAGTACCACGAAATGTGTACCTGAAAAAAAGCCTCACCCATTTGGCTACCACTGTCAACCATTTGGAAAGGGATCATTGTAGAAAATCCTGGATAAGTGGGAGAAAAATGTGGAAAAACTCAAAAGTCATAAAAAAGACCAGGCTTACTGGTCTGATAGAGACTGATTAAACCTGACACTATGGCCTCTAGTCAGTTTGGGCCTAGAATTGAAGTCACTTCCATGACCTCCAGCCAACTAACCAACCAACCATGGGAGATCAGAAGGGCATTATTTGCACAAGGAGACATCTCAGAGGGCAGGAATGCATAGGAAAGAAGAACACAGGGAAAAGGTTAAGAATAGGGAGAAGTGGGAAGAGAACAATTATGGGGACTGCAATTAGTATCATGAAACAAAATGTGTATGAACTGTTGTGTGGAAAATAAATTTGCTCTGTAAACTTTCACCCAAATTACAATTAAAAAAAAAACAACTTACCCACAAACAAGATGCTAGATATCCAATTTTTGCTTAGAATGTATTAGAGCTTTAGAGTGATGATTAAAATGGCATAGTCTTGATTAAAATCAAGAACTATCTGTTGAAATACTACTCAGCCTTCAAGGCCCAGCTCAAATTTCACCTCTTCCAAAAAACTGTCCTGAAATGTAGCTAAAGAAGTCTCCACTGCTAGTCAGAAGCTATACAGAATGATAGAACACCAAGCACTTTGACAGTATGACAAACCTGGCTTCAAGTATTAGCTTTTCTATATATTATATATGTAATCCTGTTATGTAGTTTTTCAGAACTTCAGTTTCCTCATCAGTGAAATGTGCACAATAATCCCTATTTTGGTGGTATGGATTGAATTGTATTCACAGATATATATGCTGTAAATCCTAATCCCTATGATGCCTGTAGCTATAAATCATATTTGGAAATGGACTGCCTTTGTTATGTTAATGAGGCAGGATGAACATATGAATTGAGTTTTGAGATATAAAAGAGATTAAATAAACAAGGCAGAGAAAGTGGTTGTTGTTATGTGCCATCGAGTCGTCTCTGACTCACCAACCTTACGTACAACAAAAGGAAACACTGCCTGGTCCTGTGCCAGCCTCATGATCCCTAGTATACCTGAGCCCATAGCTGCAGCCACCATGACAATCCATCTTGTTGAGGGCCTTCCCCTCTTTCATGGGCCCTCCACTTTACCAAGCATGACATCCTTCTCCAGAGAATGGTCCCTTCTGACAACATGACCAAAGTAGGTGAGACGAAGTCTAGCCATTCTCTCTTCCAAGGAGCATTCCGGCTGTACTTCTTCCAGGACAGATCTGTTAGTTCTTTTGGCAGTCCACAGAACTTTCATCATTTTCTGCTAACGAAAGACCTCTTTCAAGTGCTGAAGAGCAAAGATATCTCCTTAAAGACTAAGATGCACATAACCCAAGCCATGGTATTTTCAATCACCTCAAATGCATATGAGAGCTGGATAATGAATAAAGAACACCAAAAGAATTGATGCTTTTCAGTTGTGGTGTTAGCAAAGAATGCTGAAAGTACTGTGGACTGCTAAAAGAACTAATAGATCTGTTCTGGAAGAAGTGCAGCCGGAATGCTCCTGGTAGAGTAGAGGGGCAGCAAAAAAGGGGAAGACCCTCAATGAGACAGACTGAAACATAGTGTCTGCAATGATGGGTTCAGGTATAGCAAGGATTGTGAGGATTGCACACGACTGGGCAGTGTTTCGTTCTGTTGTATACAGGGTTGCTATGAGTTAGAGCCAACTCGAAAGCACCTAACAACAACAAAAAACTATGGGAAAATAAATTTCTTTGCAAAAGCCATCCATTGTGAGTGGCATTTCTGTTACAGCAGCACTACATAACTAAGGCACACAGGGTCTTTGGAGCTTAATAATGTATGTAACTACTCAAACAGAGCAAAGATTGAAGTTGTCAAGGATTTCATTTATGTGGATCCATAGTCAATGTCCATGGAAGCAGTAGTCAAGAAACCAAACAACATACTGCATTGGGCAAATCTGCTGCAAAAGACCTCTTTGAAGTGTTAAGAAAGCAAAGATATCACTTTGAAGACTAAGGTGTGCCTGACTCAAGCCATATATCTTCAATCACCTCATATGCATGAGAGAGCTGGACAGCGAGTTAAGGGAGACTGCAGAAAAACTGATGCACTTGAATTATGGTGTTGGTGAATAATGAATATACCATGGACTTCCAGAAGAAAGAACAAATCTGTCTGGAAGAAGTACAGCCAGAAAGCTCTTCAGAAGTGAGATTGGCCAACTATCTCTCGTACTTTGGTCATGTTATCAGGAAGAACCAATCCCTGGAGAAGGGCATCATGCTTGGTAACTAGAGGGTCAGAGTAAAAAAGGAAGACCCTTAACAAGATGGACTGACATAGTGGCTGTAACAATGGGCTCAAGAACAACAATTGTGAACATGGTGCAGGACAGGTCAGCGTCTTATACTGTCTTACCCAGGGTTGCTATAAGTCACAGACAACTCAGCAATAGCTAACAATAGTGTCTGTCATAGTATGCGCTTAATATGTCCATGGTTCCCTGTCATTTAAATTGTTTCTTAAGCCCTTATAATTTTTACAAGTACTACAATTAAATACAAGGTCATCTTACAATAAAAGAAAGTTACTAACTTCCTCAAACCTGTTTTCTTCTTAGTGAATAATTTCTAATGGTGTTTTACTGTCTAAGTTTGTTCAACAAATCAAGAATACCAAGAAGAGAAAGATGGTAAGTTGCAATCACATTTATCAAATTTTGCAATGAAGCTTTTGCTTATCTATCCAAAGTAAAGACTGTTAAGATCATAGAAAAGTAATTATATTGAATTTTGAGAATTTTCTTCTTTTAAGACAGGGGAATAATGTCAAATGGTTTTAAGTTTCTGTTCTTTAAGGGAATGTCAGTATCACAGAAAAAGAAGTGTATTTTATGAAGTCAGTTACTGATATATTAGCATAATTTATTGGTTTAATGGTATACAAATATCTTTCTAATTTTAACCACTCAAATTGTATTCCTTATACTTAATAAACTTCAAATAACAATAGTAGTAAATATAGATGATTTGGGTCCACTGATGTTTACAATGCAGTAAGTAATCTGCAATCTTAACCAAGCTTATATTGTAACCAACCTAAAGGAGAGGGCTGACCCCGTATTACTCCATTCTTGGTTCTCTCCTCCAAGTCCATAACTTCCTTGTATATCAATTCTGAAAAAGAGATGAACAAAAGTCAACTTTTCAAAGTCTAAGAGCCAATCTCACAAGTTACATGTGTTTTAAGTAAAACATTTTTACACATTTAAGTACTTCAACAGTTTCCATACAATGGCAGAGTGTCAGCCTAAGATTCATAGTTAATAACAACTTTTTGGTCTTCAACTGTGAATTCTATTTTATTGTTGTTGTTGTTGTTATGTGCCGTCGAGTCAAACCCGACTCATGAATTCTATTTTAGGAAACTAAAATCTCTGCTGTAGTTACTATTTCTAAAGTTTAAGGGCAGAGCTAGGGTTAGAAGTTTTATCTTCTTTAATCCTCTAGCATCTTGCACTTCAGCCAACAGACTGACAGACCACATATGATTCTATGCTACAAATGCTCGTTTAATTCTGTCTCTATGAGCAAGTGAAATACCTATGTCTTATTAACTTCTAGTTCCTGAGCCCCTGGATTAGTGTCTGGTAATCATACCATAAATCAACAGATATATGTGTTAAAAGATTTAAATAAAAGAGTATGTGGAAGCTTACTTTAATTAGAATATAAATACTTCTTACTTCCACAGTGATGTGTTCTTCTTGTTGTTGTTGTTATGTGCCGTTGAGTCGGACCCGACTCATAGCGACCTCTCCTTGGGTTGCCGAGGCAGTCTCACTACAGAAGTAGATTACCCCATCTTCCTTCCAAGGAGTGACTGATGGGTTTGAACTGCCAGCCTTCTGGTTAGCAGTCAAGTGCCTTAGGCACTATGCTACCAGAGCTCCCTCCGTAGTGATACTGCCTCGGAAATCCAAGGAGGGGTCGCTATGAGTTGGAGACAACTCAATGGCACATAACAACACAATGTCAATTACAGTCAAACCATACATAAGTTTTAATACTTGCTTTTCCCACTTAATTCCAACCATCTTCATGTCATTATATATCTTCACAATAGCACTATTAATAGCATAATATTTCAACGGGTAGGTGTAAGAAAGCTCATTATATGTTTTCTTCTGTTATTGGACATTTAGATTTTATCAACTACCCCCCTATCATGAATACAGGAACTAACAATTTACACATAAAAATTGTTCTGGTACTTAGGGCTATTTCCATAAGAATTAAGGATACTTGAAGGACAAAAGAGACCATTTAATTTCGTAGTTCTGCATCCTCTGAAAATCTGACAAAGACCGAACTTCTGACAACTTGTTTATGTAAAAAAAGGATCCAAATAGTAACTTCATCTCAAAGACTGTAAATGCCCAAGAGGAAGCTGTTGCTTTCCTGAGGGCAATGACCTTCATAATAGGATATGTTCCTTCCAGGCACCCTTTGGAAGCCGAGCCTATGGCACTGATACAATAGATACTTGTACCCAACTGGGACATTGGGCTTCTAAAGCCAGGGTAACTCCACACCCACCCCTGGGAATCTTGTTCTCTCACTAGGAGGCCAAAGAGAAGAAGTGCTGGGCAGCTGTGTAGACTGCTGTGAGGACTACTCTCAATGAAGAGAAATACTGATGCTGTCATGTTGATATATGTGCTTCCTGTCTCATATTTTTTTAAGAGGATCTGCTATCAAATGTGGTCTATTAGAATCTTGTGGGTCTGAATGTCCACGTAAGAAGAACCTTTTGATGAATGTTACAAAGACATTAATTATCATCTTCTTTGGGTCATGGAATGCTTTGACAATTTCATACAAGCTATGAACCTTCTAAATGTATAAACAAAAATGTACCCAGAATTTCAAGGAGTCTTTGTATCTCCTGATGATTAAATTTCTGATGAAAAATCCTTGATTACAGGGTAACAGAGTACACTAACATTTATGTTAGCAATACAGTAACAGAAATGGATCCACTCAAATGAATAGGAGTTAGTAACCTTGCCATAGTAACCTTCTTGGGCATGAAAAGAAAAAGGCATAAAGCCTAGACAGAAGAAAAAATAACAGATATTTTTCTTCAAAGAAACAAAAATGAATGATAAGCATTTAAGACAGAAAGAAAAAGAAGCACCCCTTTTGTAAAAAGGGATTAAGGCAGAAGAACCAGAGCTTAAGAAGAGTACACACTAGGCAAAGTAATATGTAGTTAATGGATTTGGTAATAGTTTTTACTTTCTGCTATGATGTTAAAATTCTTAAGTATGCCTTAAAAAAGGCAGTTTGTGGGTAGTTACTGAACTGCAAGGAGCTCTGGTGGTGTGGTGGTTAAAGCATTGGGCTGCTAACCAAAAAGGTTGGCAGTTTGAACCCACAAGCCACTCCACAGAAGAAAGATGAGGCAGTCTGCTTCCATAAAGATTTATAGCCTTGGAAACCCTATGGGGCAGTTCCACTCTGTTCTATAGGGTCACTATGAATCAGAATCAACTTGATGGCAGTGAGTATGGACTGAACTGGAGTTGGGGCTAGGAGACAAAGATGAAGAATAAAGGTAAACATTTTTTAAATAATTTAATAAATATATATTTGTGTGTGTGTATATATGTGTGTGCATGTGTGTGTATAATATAGCATTTGACTAGGAGCTCTGTCAGCATAGTGCCTAAGGCACTTGACTGCTAACCAGAAGGCTGGCAGTTCAAACCAGCCACTCCTCAGAAGGAAGGATAGGCAAACCTACTTCTGTAGTGATACCGTCTCGGAAACCCAAGGAGGGGTCGCTATGAGTCGGGACCAACTTGACGGCACAGAACAACAACAACATAGCATTTGACTGCTAACCAGAAGGCTGGCGGGTCAAATCCACCATCCACTCCTCAGAATGAAGATTGGGCATCTGCTTCCGTAGTGATAACATCTTGGAAACCCAAGGAGGGGTTGCTATGAGTCAAATAGACTTGACGGCGGTGAGTTTGGTGTTTTGGTTTTTATATATTTAAAAAACAAACAAACTCACTGCCATTGAGTCAATTCTAACTCATGGTGACCCCATTGGGTTTCCAAAGCAGTAAATCTTTATGGATGTAGATTGCCCAGTCTCCCTTCTGTGGAATGGCTAGTGGGTTTGAACTGCCAACCTTGTGGTTAGCAGTCAAATGCCTTAGGCACTACGCCACCAGAGCTCCTTATATATATTCCTTTTATATCTGTAGTCGCTCTATGGAAGTAAGATGGGCAGTCTGCTTTCATAAAGATTAACAGCCCTGGAAATCCAAGTTGGAATTGATTCAGTGGCACTGAGTGAGTTTTTCAGTTTATTATGTCTGAAATTGGGTTGCATGTTATAATCAATGGCATAGTGGCACATAGTGCTATGTTTAACAATTGTAGCATGCTAAGATTTTATGAAATACCATGAATTTCTATTGTAATTGCAGTGGGAAATAAACACATTAGGATGAACATTTTAATACTCTAGTCCACAGTTGTACACATGATGCAATTCTATCTCTGAACAGTCTAGTGTGTCTCCCAGAGTCAACCTGGAGGAAACTATTTTCTGGCTATTCCTAAGAAAAAATCAAATTCCTTCCTCTTAAAAAAAATTTATAGATTTACAATCCTGTTCAAGTTTACACCTCCCCAGTCCCTTCTACCTTCCTAGTATTTTGACACTTAATCTTTTAACATCAGATCTTCTGTCTCCATTTTAAAATAAGGTAAATAAGGGATGGTCAAGTGATTTGCCCAAAGCCACATGGTTATAAAAATGTTAATAACACAGTTGGTGGTAAACAGGATCTAAAAATGATCTGGCCCAAATGTCTCAGAGGATCTTTTTAAAAGAAATATTTTAATACTTTCATGATTAATATTCAACTGCATTCATAAAATAAAATAACACTGTTAGTGAGGGTGGGGGTTAAGAAGATGCTCCCATTCAGTGCTAATGGATGCGTAAATGGCTACAATTTATATCTGGAGAATAATTTGGAAGTAACTGAAAAATACCCTTTGGCCCAGCAAATCTTCTGTTAGGCATGTTCTCACATGTGCGTAAGAACACTGCAAAGTTGTTTGTAACAGAAATAGACTGGACATAACTTAAAATACTACTAAAAAGGGAGCATAAAATAGAAATTATGACATGCTTATGGAATGGAACACCAGCCTGCCAGTAAACCAAGTGAGGCAGAAATACAGATTAAGAGAATAGTCTCCAAGGTACACTGTTATATCAACAAACCATTGGTGGTTAAAAAGGGTGGGAGCAGAGAGGAGGAAACACTAAACACTTTTATGGCTTGTATATTCATAGACGATGGAAAAGTACAATAGAAATCTTGAGAGTGTCTGTCTCTGAGGTGTAGAACTTGGGAGATTAAGCATCAAGAAAAGAGGGAGACTTACTCTCTACTTTTATAAAAATAATCATTATCAAACATCAGCTATGAATAACAAAATATACCTTTAATTTCCCTAAAATGAAAACTAAGTCAACATAAAAAGCTAGAAGCATTTTCAGTTTTATCATTAATAGCTGGATGAATGTTACCTTTCCACTCTTCTATCGTGTGCTCCCTTTCATCTAATTGCTTGTCAGGGATCTTTGGTGGTGGCTGAAAAACACAAGGCAACAATAATTGAGTCAGTTTACTGAGAATGAATAGATTCTTATAATTATTTGAACTATTAATCAAAATGGAAGACTTAAATACATGCATCACTAGAGCTAAATTGATCAATCATCAACAATCTTCTTATGTAGTTATGGAAGACTCCCTCACTTAAGGGAAAAAAAAAAATGCTTAGCCATCCTTCTCCTTAAGTCCAGCTTTTGAATTGATAACATTTTATTTGTATCACAGAAATATTCTGTACCTTGTACACAATTACTTGTTCTATAATTAAACTAGGATGTTCCTCAAAGTGGCTCAACATTCCAGCTCCTCTAGCAGGTATGAAGGTAAGAAGGCGAGAAGCGATGGGAAGCAACTTTAGTGTGTGTAGAAAGATGCTTGAGAGTCCCTGAGTGACACAAATTGTTAATGCTCTTAGCTGCTAACCAAAAGGTTGACAGTTAAAGTCCACCCAGAAGCACATTAAAGAAAGGCATGGCAATCTACTTCTGAAAAAATCAGCCACTGAAAATCCTGTATGACAGTTCTACTCTGTCACACATGGGTTGACATGAGTTGAAATCAACTGGCAACTGGTGGAGGTGGTGATGGTGGTGGAAGGTACCTGAATATACTAATTAGCTTAAGGTACTCTTTGTGTAAAACCAGAAAAATACTATCATCATTTGTCTAGATTTTTACTTAAAACCTAACTTTAAATGCAACATATTCCTCAAACATGAAGAAAAGAACTTACAGCTTCTGCTTCCGAAGGATCATACCAGACATTGATATATGGGTGCTGGAGAGCTTCATCTACAGAGATCCTTTTAGAGGCATCTATTACCAGCATTTTGGATAACAAATCCCTTGCCTGACTGGCTGCAAAAACAATTACGTTAATGTATACATACCTTGTAAAGGTTTTTAAATTATCAATAAATTTCAGAAACTTGACACTATAATTTATTTTTAAAGTATATGGTTTTCAAAGAATAGCTGTTACTCAAAATCAAGTCAAATATATGATTAAAGTATACAAAATTAATAGACTGTCACCTTGTGCCACCACCCAGAGATAACCTTACTCCCCTAAGAATTTGAATATATACACACACAAAATTAGATTAAATGTATGTATTTATTAAAGGTACCTTTAAGTTTGTTGTGTTCTGAGTCAGCAGGGAAAAGTACATCTGGGAAGAGTTTCTCGAAGCTATATCCAGCATATTTAGGTCTGTTTTCAACATAAGTCCTTACTGTTGGTTGCAGTTTCTTCATGAATTCAGGACATGGTGTTCCAAGCTGTTCAATAACTTTATTCCACTGATCAATATCTAATATCAAGTTGCTAAGAAAAATACTCCATATCTAATGTTTAACATATTAATCATAATCCTATTTAAATAACAAGAAAATGGCTCTTTAAAATTCCTAAGAAAGAATGTGGCAGTTATAAATTTTGTATCTTACAGCCACCTTTGCCGAAAGCAGTGACTGTGGATGGACAGAAAGGATCAATAAATAAGCTTTGTTAACCTTATTTATTGTGTGTATGGGTATGTGGGTGCAACACATTATTGACACCGACTTCACTATAAAAATGGACACTAAAACTCATAAATTTTAGGTACAAATTTTAAGTGACTCAAAGAATAATGGTAATTACCATCCATAAGGACACTAAATGCAAATGGCACACAATTCTAGAATACAAAATCCGACTTTTCTTCCAGCTTATCAGAAAATGTGAATGCGTTTCCTAAAGAATAAGAAATATTTTTATAAGTCCTGCATTTGAGTTTTCTACACTAACAGAAAACGCACAGTAGGAATAAAAATGATGGCTATGAAAAAAGTGGCATTTTATTTTGCCATTCTTAACTTAATAGCTTTGCTTTTTTTAAAAAAAAGGGCTATGAGCCTTCTGAAAAAGATCAGTACTTCACTAAGCTGTAAAAGTTGTTGTTGTTATGTACCGTCAAGTCGGACCCGACTCATAGCGAACTCTCCTTGGGTTTTCGAGGCAGTATCACTACGGAAGTAGATTGCCCCATCTTCCATCCGAGAAGTGGCTGGTGGGTTTGAACCACCAGCCTTCTGGTTAGCAGTCAAGTGCCTCAGACACTATGCTACCAGAGCTGTAAAAGTTAGGATTTCCTGATTTCCTTCCTCCTAGTTTTTACAGTTCAGACCCCCGAAGAACAAAGCCTAAAATTCTCTTAATGTAACCTACTGAATATGGCTTTTCCATTCTTTCTCCTAAAACAATTCTAAGTACTTGCTACTAGTTGATAAACATGACAGATCACCATTAAGATAAACACTGAAAGTAGTCAGAAGAACAAAAAGCAATCCTAAGTAAGTGCCACTAGTTGATTCTAAGTAAGTGCTACTGTTAATATAAATATTAAAAGTAGTCAGATAAACAAAAGCATGAAACCTAAATCTAATCATCACATGTAAAATAATTACTGCTGAAATTCTCTGATGAAAGGATCAATGTTGAGTAATGAGACAACAAGCAAAAGACAAAGCACACAGAACATAAACAACAAAAAGGAGGGCAGGAAAAATAAAAGGATGACCAAAAGCAACAGACAATTCCAAAATACAAATCAAATCCTAAGTAGTTCTAGACTTACTCAAGTATATAGTTATTAGCAATTCTTAATGCAAGCTATGATTTACGATTTAGAGGTTAAATAAATCAATTCAAAGCCAGCAAGTAACTGGATAATTATACTTGAGCAGTTTTCAAAATTAACATATGAAACAATCAATAAATGAGGGGAAGGAAGGTCTATGTTAAATAGCAGGTGGTATTTTGAAGAGTAATTTAACATTACTTTTATTATTTATCAGGGAGAGACAAAATACATTATACCTGACCAAGCTGAAGTGCTGTCATACATTTTGACCTTTAGAAATTATATTTTAGGCCAAAGATAAGGATACGATCTGTACCTGGGAACAAAACACCACCTTTGATCATTTCTCCCATGATGCACCCAACTGACCAAATGTCAACTGAAAACAAAACGCAAATGACATTAACATAAAGATTTTGGTTAAAATTAAAAAAAAAAATATATAAACATTAAAGAAATCACACACACCATGTACAATTTAAAATGATAAAAAGCAGAATAAAATAAAATGAATGACAGTGAATGGGCTCTGACTACCAGCAGAGACTGTATGTCCTACTGCTAGGTGCAGCCTAAAGATATTCCAGCTTCTTATCCAAGCAATGTTTTGAACTATAACAGCCACAAACTTTATGTCTGTTTAAATAAAACGTATGTATATGAATGTGCCATGTTCATTTTCATTAGAAAACATAAAAAACTTCATTGCCTAACTAATTAAACTGCTGCAGCAGCACAAGGATACAGTCCCTTCCTGGAAAGAGGATTTTGTGGCAAACCATTTCTCCCATAATGCACCCCACAGACCATAAATCCACTATATGTTTGCAGCACAAAAGAAGGAAAAGCAAAGCAAAAGGTCATTTAAAATCAAAGAAGCTTAATATGACTGCATTATATAACGACTGCAAAAACATCACAAAAAACAAAAGTGATTTTAATTTTAGCTAATGGAATAAATTTAAAACAAAATATTTTCCAAAAGGCTTTGATTCACAAAAGAAAATGTAAAGTAGTCTTTTAACTACGTATCTAATTTTAAAGTGAGAGCTATGCACAGATTATTACATAATAAAAAAGCTTATCCATTTTATACCTGAGAATTTGTTGATGAAATATAGAACCAAATTCTAACTTTGTAAATAACGCTGAAAATGTACATGAGGTAGCAAAATTATAAAAATGAAATCTATTATTCTGAAGTCCAACTGTGCATTATACTCTTTCTTTAAGTTAAATAAAAGAAAAAAAGCATGAGCAGAAATAATTTAGCATATTAAAGTATGTAACATATAGATTGTATCTCTTAAGAATAATCATAGTAAAAAGTTAATCTAAAGCTCTTCAAACTTTTCAAACTGGATTTAATAGATTTATTCAGCTGAGACATGCTGTAAGTTTATACTAAATTAAAAGTCAAATTATTTTTTTGGCTACATGTACCCTATTATCCCAAAAGGAACAAGTGCATAGAGAATGCACAACTAACCCAATTAAGAAAATTTAGTAAGAGAAGCATATTTCATATGTCTTCTGCTCAAAGCTTTGTGAATGCATAAAAAGCACGCTTTTGATTCAAGAAGTTAGTTTTGGCAGGACACTAATTACCCAGAGTCTCCTAGCAAACTTACTGACCCTGGCCAACTTTGAATGGGAGCCCTAATCAATGTTGTAAAGAATATGCTAGACACAGAAACAGGGATTATTTGGAATTTTCACCTGTTTTATTAAAACTAATCACATACCCTCTTAAGTTTATACTTCTGAGTTTGAATATATATAAAAGGGGGGGGGCAGGGAGGTTTATGTATTGTTGCAGTTCAATAGCAGAAGAAGAGAACGAGTAATTTAAAAGGAAAAGCCTCAGAAACTTGTGTTTGGTTTTGAAGTCTGAATGCCTAAATTCTTTAAGGACAAGAATGGATGTCAGAGAGAGTTACACTCTCACCCATGTCAGAGCACTTAACAGTTGTAGTGTCTGTTACTTCATGAAGAGAGTCTTAGAGTAAAACTGGAAATAATTATTAGAAAGCCTATGTAATAAAATTTGCCTGAAATTTTATTTAAAATGCATACACATCTTTTTATATATTTTGGTATGATTTAACTTTCATGAAAATTTAATATTCATAAATCAGTTCACCAAAAATTTTTCCAAGGACTTTTTGGGGCAAAAATTTATTAAATAAATCTTCCTTTATAGATTGATCAAGAATCTATCATATATCCAGGACACAACTTATATAGGTAACCTTAAGAAAAATCAAAAGATTGTGAAAGCTGCAACCATGAGAAAAGATGCTGTCAATTTCAGTGAGGCCTTTTTAAGAAGATGATAAAACTTATTCAGACACAAAACTAGTTTGAAGGGGTTTTACTGCTTCCTCCGAAGGTCACTTTAAATATCCATCAGCTTTGAAGAATGAATGACCTTATTTTAGCTCTTGAGGTTTGCATAAAGGGTTGTTATTATTAACTGACATTGAATTACTCAGCTGACAACTGTAAGTTCAATAGAAGAAGATTAAATAACTACCACATTTTGTACTGGTGAACAGAAAAACCAATAATCATAGGCAAGCAAATAGCATATATTCAGGGGCCACAGCAGCAAATTCTTAAGTTAATGATAGTATTGATGTTGTGTGTATCTGTACTTAAATAAATGGGCTCCAAGTTTTTCAAAACATTTAGAACTAAATAGTTACTTTCAAACTCCTGATACACATTTAAATCAGTGATACATATTTCCATGTATACTTCAGCTTAAACATTCACATAAGAAAATTGATGAACAAAAGAAAATAAATGACAACTATATTTCAAATAAATAATGTCTGCTGACCGTTTTCTTTGTAGCCCATCCCTAAGATGACTTCGGGGGCTCTGTAGTAGCGAGTCACTACGTAAGGTGTCATCATGAAACTCGTTCCTGCAGTTCTGGCCAGTCCAAAGTCAAGAATCTTCAAAGTGCAGTCTGATTTTACTACTATATTACTGGGCTTTAAGTCCTTTAAAAAAGAAAAAAAGCAATGGAAAAAAACCCTGCTATGATATTTATGAATCTCCTGCAGCTCACAGTTGTTACCCTACCACTGCAAAACAACTCATGTTAATTGCTAATCTCACTGTAATGGATCTCAGTGCACAAGACTCATCACAACCAAAAAATTAGCTTTGAGGATTTTTAAAAATTTATTTATGAAGACAGAGTTGTTAGAAAGTTTAGTAATGTTTTATTTACTAGAAATTATGATTAGCTGGAAATTATAGGTCAAATGGAGTAAAAGGGATTTGAAAAGGCAAACTCACAGCTCATGTAAGAACTATTATAGTAAAACACTAGCATCTACAGTCATCCATATATTACATTACCAGTATTTAAAAAAAAAATCACAAGAACCTTCGTATAGATACCATGGATCAATAATGGGTAAGTCTGTATCTCTTCTATTAGCTGATGGTCATTTATAATAGACTAAAACAGGCATTATTAGTCTTTCCATCACCAATTTCCCAAGTGAAACCATACAAATTTGCTTTAAAAATTTGGTCTGCCTGTAGAGGTAGGACATTATTATCCTGATGCCACTAATTCATATGATCACTTGCTGCTGACACTGCAAAATAATGTCCTTGTGAAGAACGTTTCACTTGGCCCATTGAAAGGAAGGCAGCAACATGAACACTCATGTCTTCATGCTCCAAACACTTTGCCTCTTAGCACCAATGAACCAAGAGACCAAGAAGAAAGCAAGCATAGACCCACAATTTAAGTACATCCCACTGTCTGTACTGGTGTGCAGTATTCAGGACTTTAGTTCATATATTAAGTATCAGTAATTAATACAAAGGAGGAAAAAAAAAAAAAAAAAAAAACACCTGTCCTTAAATACAAAGATCTCTTTTGTAATGCTTGTATCCAGAAAAGCATGTATGTTATCTTTATTTTGCCAGGCCATCATGGATGGGTTGAAAACATATATAATCTAATAGTTTTATAAAATTAAAAAATAAAAAGATATCAATAGCTTAGTGAAACAAAAGATGACAATTTCTATTATTGCTATCTGTAAATATAATGTTGCTAATATTTCCAAGACACTATTTCAGCAGGGAGCTCTGGTAGCATAGTGCCTAAGGCACTTAACTACTAACCAGAAGGCTGGCGGTTCAAACCCACCAGCCTCTCCTCAGAAGGAAGATGGGGCAATCTACTTCTGTAGTAATAGTGCCTTGGAAACCCAAGGAGGGGTTGCTATGAGTCAGGTCCAACCTGACGGCACATAACAACAACAAATTTCAGCAAGGTAACAATGCATGTTCAAGAAGAAATATTACAAACTTGGTTACTATTATAATGTCTGTAGTGATGGTCAGAGGTTAATGGCTTTTTGTGCTAGTATAGTTTGGTCTAGAAATAAGACTCCATTCTTAAATACTTCATTTTGGAGGAATTAATTTTTTTCCCTTCAAGGAACAGATAAGCAAAAACAAACTGTTAAAAATGCCTCAAAGAATATTAACTAAAATTCATCCTTAAATATTATAAAATTAAAATTCATCCAATGTGTACCTTGCTAAAGATGTTAGTAATGCTGCTGAATATATATGAGAATAATTTTGAAAGCATCCATTTGTGGAAGTAGTAGTACAGCTAAGCTAACATTAGATCCCCCCCCCCCACCCATTTGTCCAGCCCCCTTACAGTAGGCAAGGGCATATGATTAGTTCTAGTTAACAGGATATAAGTAGGAGCAAAAATAGAAGGGCCAGTACACAGCCTCCTGATGTCTTCTTCCCTACTCTGGTGATCAGTAATGTTCCTGAGAGTGAATCCCCTGCCACTGTAGGTTCCTGACCAGAGAGACCCAGCCCCACGCCTAACCCCGCAACAACTTGCACTGGACATGTAGTGTGGGAAATAACCTTTCGTTATAGTTAAGACACTAAGAATGCTGATTTATTTGTTACCTCAGCATATCCTAGTCTACTGCAACCCTGTATTTTTCTAAAACTGTAATAGGGTGTTACTATTATGAAATCATAGGATCATGGAGTTGAGCAGCAAACAACAGGGAAACTATTATCAAAGGCTGGAAAGGTGATCGAGGTTATACAGCAACAAAGTATTTCATGAAGCTGTCACCTGTAATAATTAGGAAAGCAAGTACTTGCATAATGAACTTTAAGCTCTAGAATAGGATATGGCAAAAAATGACCTGCCTGTGGCATAATACCTAAGGGCATATTTGACTGCTAACCAGAAGGATGGTAGTTCAAACCCACCAGCCACTCCTCAGAAGGAAGATGGGGCAATCTACTTCTGTAGTGATACTGCCTCAGAAACCCAAGGAAGGGTCGCTGTAAGTCGGATCTGACTTGATGGCAGTGAGTTTGTTTTTTTGTTTTTTGTTTAGAAATTTTGACTGGAACACAGCCATGCTCATTCAATTATGTATTGTATGTGGCTGCTTTCATGTTATAATGGAAGACATGAATAGCTGTGACTGAAACTATTATCTGTAAAGCATAACATACTTACTATTTGGCCTTTACCAAAAAAAGTTATTGACTCTTGCTCTAGAAGATTGGGGGAAAAATTATTGATGACTCCTCTAGAAATTGGAAAGCAAAACCTTAGTTAAGTGTGTGTTGGTGACTACTGGCTGCATTTGGCATGGCATTACTGTAGAGAAAGAGACAAGGATGGACTTCACAGTGACATACAGAAGAGAGAAGAACTGCCTCATAGGGTTTTCAGAGCTTAAATCATTAAGGAAGCAGACTATCTCATCTTATTCTCAAGAAGTGGCTAGTGGGTTAGAACCACCAACCTTCTGGTTAGCAGCCCAATGCTTTAACCGCAGCACCACCACAGCTCCTTCAAAAAGAATTAGCCATTTTAAAAGGGGAAAAAAGAGAGTCCAGAATTCAGGGTAGTCTGTAGCAGAGAGAATGGTACTCACCAACATTCTGAAATCTGCTCTCCCCCAATTTTCTAGTTCTTTTATAATTCCTATGGAGCTCTGGTAGCATAGTGCCTAAGGCACTTGACTGCTAACCAGAAGGCTGGTGGTTCAAACCCATCAGCTACTCCTTGGAAGGAAGGCTGGGCAATCTACTTCCGTAGTGACACTGCCTCGGAAACCCAAGGAGGCGTCGCTATGAGTCAGGTCTGACTCGACAGCACATAACAACAACAACAACAACATCATGATTAGTTTGGAAGCTCTGGTAGCATAGTGGCTAAGGCACTTGATTGCTAACCAGAAAACTGGCAGTTCAAACCCACCAGCCACTCCTCAGAAGGAAGATGGGGCAATCTACTTCCGTAGTGATACTGCTTTGGAAACCCAAGGAGGGGCTGCTATGAATCGGGTTCGACTCGATGGCACATAACAACAACAACAACAATTAGTTTTAATTAGGATTAGTTTGGCCAATAGGCTTTGAGCAGAAGAGATGTGTGTTACCTCCAGGCTGAAGCTTAGAAGAGACAGTACAGTACATACTATTCAGCTTTCTATTTCTCTGCTATAGTGACCAGCAACCATCTAGGTAGTGGAGCCTCATTTAGCTTGGCACTGAATCCAACCCCCAACACTAAACTGAATTAGACCACTAAGGGATGAAAGGTCAAGTTATTTTATCAGGTAAAAACAATCTCAGACTAATCTAGGGTGAAGGGAATCTAGCAGAATAGTAGAGCACAGAGATGAATATCAACTGTGGCCTTAAGACTAGCTGCAGAAGTGGGGTCTGTAGTTCATTCTACGAAATAATTTCTCATCCTACCACAGGAAAAGAAACCAAACAAAATCTCAGACAGTTTCCAGTACTTATTGCATGAAAAACATGGGAATAATCACAAGGAGTGATCTGTAGCCAATGCTGTGATTCCTACTCAGATTCTTGCTTCAGCACTGAGGCACTCATTGTTCCAGTTTCCGAGAGTGTTGGCAGCTGACAGTTTTCAGCAAATCTCTCTCCAGGAACTGCCCTGTGACTTCGAGAGCCATCTTTTCCAAGGACATACTCCTTCCTAGGACCAGTACAAAGGACCAGCAGAGATACCAGCTGAGGGTTTTACAGTAACTATCCAATACAATTTTCCTTGTGCCCAATTTTACTTCCTCTACCTTCTCAAGATGGTAGTCCTGAGAACACTCCTCGATAAACTTCTAACACATTTATCTCCATTCTAAAGTCTGTTTCCCAGAAGGCTGACCTAAAAAAAAAAAGCTTATTCTCTATCCAACATGTCTCTTATTAACCCACTGCCATTGAGTTGATTCCAACTCATAGCAACCCTACAGGACAGAGCAGAACTGTCCCACTGGGTTTCTAAGGCTAAAAATCTTTACAGAAGCAAAATGTCTCATCTTTCTCCTGCAGGGTCATTGGTAGGTTTGAACTGCTAACCTTCTGGTTAACGGCCCAACGCTTTAACCACAGTTTAATCAGAGCTCCTTGTGTCTCTTATTAGCTTAACTACATTACTCCAAAAACCAAACTCACTGCCACTGAATCAATACCAAACCACAGTGATCCCCTTTGGGATTCACAGACAGTCATTCTTTATGGAAGTAGACTGCCCAGTTTTCCTTCCATGGAGTGGCTGGTGGCTATGAACTACCAACCTTCTGGTTTGCAGTCAAATGCCTCAGACACTACACCACCAGAGCTCCTTTCAACAACACTACATTGTAGTTATTCTTTATTTTCACTCCATATCTGTAAGCACTGAGGGATTATGTTAAAATCTCCTAAAGCTACTGTGTTTGTCCAGTTCTATTTTCTGTAGTTTCTGTCTATCTATACCTATTTACATGTATAAACATACACATAATGGGAGTGCCAGCAGGAGAAGGGACAAAGTGGCAGAAATAATATTTGAAGAAAAACTGGACTTCTGCATGCACAACTACACTAGAGGCTGCTGACTAAAATGGGAAACAGCAAAGGAGGAGACAAACTGAGATGTGAACTTTTGGCTATCTGGAGGGTG